TCGGACAAGAAACAAACGCGTAAGACGCGTTTACGTCGTATAAAAAAATATCCGGTTTTTTTTGTTACACACTGTACGTATTAAATGAATAGGGTTTTTTCGATAAGTATACTTTGAAAAATATTGTTTACATTGATTCAATGTTTTCAGCAAGTGAATACTTTCCCGAAAATACGGGTATGAGTAAGTAGTGAGTTGTGCTGTCGTTTTGAACGTGAACACATTCTATAACCAATATGTTCGAATCTGTCTTTAGATACCACCTTATCAACTATCCAGCTTCCTCGTCCAATCCTACCTGTGACAGTTCCTCAATGCAAATCTCTGAATAATCTGGTGCCAGAGCTTAAAGTGGAAATCATTCTCCACTTGAGAAATCCTACGTCTCTTGCTAAGTGTTCGCGCGAATGGAACAATATCGTGAATTTACCTTCTACGAAATCCAAGTGGTTGATCGGCAGACACGGAAGAACCCATGCATTGTTTCATGCAGTAAGAATGGGAGAACCTTTTATTAATCTTGATATGGTCGAATGTCTATTTGCGCAGAAGGCACACATCAGTCGATACTTTATCCAAAGATTGGTGCTCGAATTTGGCAAGTATGACAGCAGGCTTATTGACCTCAAATTGACCCATAACATGGATACTCTTGATCCAGATCGAAAAAAATCTATTCAAAATAAAATTCGAAGTCCCTGGGCAAGCAATCTTTCCTTTGATGTTTTCTCCCGAATTCTCAAAGAGGGTCATGATCGGTTTGACGGGAATGATATTCCTGTCAGAGGAAATGACATGGAGTCCTTTTATTACTTATCGGCTGGTCCATTGGTTATTAGTCAAGCGAGAACCAAATTGAAGGAAAACAAAAAGGAGATCAAAACGCTGATACGTCGATACAAGTTTGCCCCTTTCCCCCCGAGACTGAAAATCCGAAAACATATTCTCGAGAAGAAAGATGACGGGAATATTGGACTGAAGCCACATTCCGATACATATTCAGAGTCACGTGCTGTTAATTTTGACGACTATCCACCATCTGATGGGTATGAGAACGTGAGACAATTAACCGTAATTGCACGCGCTATACTCATATACCCCAAATTTGTTAATATCTGGAAGAAAAACGGGTATCATGGGATCGTCAACGATGTGAACGACCTGGTCATGCGAGGATCGTTACTTATCCTTTACCCCCCAAGTCCTTCCGAAGATTGGGTTAAACCAGGCTTAGCTCAAGTCGTTGATGAACTAAAAGATCTAATGTTGCTTGGATTCGAACTGACGGATGCCTTGATTGGAGACGCTTTAATCTTATTTGAGCATAGATTAAAGGATATAGGAGAAATACTGATTGATGCGTTTGCCGTCGTTCGCGATCTGCCTGAAAGGGAAATTGTCTTGATCTGTTTGACTGAGCTGTTGAACCCTGACAGAAATCTCAAGCGGCATGATCTGCTCGATTTTATAGTCAACAAAATTGAGAAACCTGAAGAGGAAATTTTATCCGTTTTTAAGAAATACGAAATTGTCCATTCTGTAAAAATTTATTGTGAAGCTCTTACTAAATTTAGTACCGGTAATACGGATATCAAGGGTCTGTCTGTTTTCCAACCATTTACATATCTGAAATACTCGCCATTAGTATATCGATATACCGTAGTCAAATTTGGCGCTCAGTCGAAAGTGGCTAAACATCTGATGAAAGAAGTAACGTCTGTTAGAATTGCAATCACCCTAATGACTGAGATTCCATCTCAACAAGTGCCATCGGATCTCACGATTTTGCGCTGGCCAGATTCAATTACTATTTTCAATGAATATTACAAAGCGAGAGTTCCTTTAAAGGCAAAATTTTTGCCTTTATTCGAAAAATGTCAAAGCGATTCCGTAATGAAATGTTTGTTTGATGGTTACCTAGCAAAGTTGTTTGGATTTAAAGTCGATCAGCCACCAAGAACGGTTTGCTTTCCAGTTTTGAGTTCAGTCGATCCAGTTGTGCAAAGGACTTCTAAAAAGCGAAAGGCTAATACCGAGGCAAAGAAAGAGAAACAAAAAAAATGGCTTGAACAGGCGGACAAGCTGAACGAAGAAATTGTAAACGAGAAATTTAAAGAACCTCTACAAAAATTTATGCAACGTATTAGCAAGTCCGCACAAGAAGAAGAGGATGCTGGTAGCACACAGTCAAAGCGTGTTGAGAGTTGCGGGAACGTAGGTCAGAACTCCGTTAAAACGGTCTAATCAATTGAAATAACTTTCGTGGCTCATTACATTGTAAGCTAACAATCCGGTATTGATATGCCCAGTTTCATATTTCATTATGCCTTATTTATTACGGCCATTTTATCAAAAAAATATGGCTTCACTCGCATGTATTACTAAGAGGATGATTTTACGATTTAAGTTTTTTTAAGATAATACTTGGTCCTCAGACACATTTTTTATTTAATTGCTATATACTCTCTTGGGTATAAATAAAGCTGTTGTACTCACACCTACCACCACCTTTTCTGTTTGTATTATTCTGCCGAAATCGTAACAGGCAGCCACAAAAAAACAATATCGAAAGGCTAATGTCACTGCTATGACCTAGATAATTCCAATTTCAGAGTTTCCTCATCAGGCTGGGAGTAACTTTTATAGCTTAGCAGTGCCAAGCTACCAATAGATTTTGGGCGACATTAAATGTCGCTCAGAATTAATTAGAAAATAACACATTAACAGATTTAATATTAATAAGCATTACTTAGGTCCCTGCATTTGACATCACATTTCTGCTGGGACATAATATTGTTCAGTTTTGACTTTATAAAGAACTTTGTGAGAGCATGTTGTCTAAATGTAGACATGCCATAGGATTGGTGGGGATACTAACAGATTACAATCTCGGTGCAAAAAGCAAGCAGAGCGCTGGTTTCTAACATATCCCCTGTGTTTTATAGCTGGGGTTTCTCTTTATTGATCCCGCATAATCAACGTTAATTCTGCTCTTCCGTGAATAGTACACACCGAAATAACTCGGACGCTTAAACTATTCCCTAACAAACGGTACTTCTGTATATTGGTGACTGGAAATGTGAACCTATCACTTCCCAACAGGTTTGGGTGAAATGTTCTTGGTAATTCATCTATATTTTTTTGTAAATACAAATATCGATTGCTAGTGATCCACCTGAGAGATAATCATATCATTCCTCGGATAGAGATGTCATTTCCGTCCAACCGATTATGACCCTCTTTGAGAATTCGGTCAATCTGAGGTCGATGGCATACTTACCAAACCCAAGCACCAATATTTGGATAAAGTATCGAATGGTGTGCAAATAGACATTCGACTACATCAAATTGTTCGCCCATTCTTACCGTGAAATAATGCATGGGTTCTTCCATGTCAGCCACTTGAAGGATATTATTCCACTCACATGAAAAGTTGGCAAGAGATGTAGGATCCCTCATGTGGAGAATAATTTCAACTTTAAGCCCAAAACATTCGATCTAGGCTCGGACGAGGAAGCTGGCTAGTTGATTTAATGGATTGATTATGTACAACTCGTCACCCATACTTGTGAAGTTTTCATTCGCCGAAAGCATCGAAGGAATGTTTCTGTCAGCAGTCTAGATACTGACCGGGACTACTTATATGATCCAGGTTGGGTGGGTGACACGATACCCGAACATTGAAACAAAATAATAAAGGCCACACACTACTAAAACCGTCATAATAAAGTAATAACGTCGACCTTCCTTTAATATTCACAACAACAACAGACGAATCTACTACAACGGCCAAATCTTGGAATCTGATTCTTTACACCACTGGAAATTGCGAGATTACATGTGCGGAATGGGAATGGGAATAGCATCAATGGCGATGATCACCACAGCGATGATGACGGCCGTTCTGGTCTAAATAATAAGCAACGCAACAACGGCAAAGTTAAAACGTTAATTAGAACGCACAAATTTCCTAGGGGCAAAATTTCATATTTACGCGATGATGCCTCTGACGGTTACACAGACAACTCGCAACTGTATATTATCGCACGTTCAGTTCTGCCCTGCATTAGTTAGTGTTTGGAAGGAAAGTGGAGTGTTTCCGATTGAACAAGTCATACATCTGAAAGGAAGCTATATAATTATTAGGATATGGACTATCTCATTGCGAAAGGCACATCGTTCGTTTAAACTAAAGTCCTTAAGATCGATGATTGATTGTCATTTGCGACCAGACCTGCAAGAGAGTTCAATCACCTGATTTACAGGCTCATGTCGAAAATCGTTCTGGAACAATTGACACGTGTCATGCCACACACAGCGCTTCCAAGAACACAAACGCGTTGGGTAAAAAACGTCGATTTTTATTGATGGTTGTTGTTATTCATGCAAGATCGTGTGTCCTTCTATCAAATAACGATTGTATATAATTAACAAAATGCATTACGATTAAGTGGCTAATAAATATTAATGTCCATTGATCTCAAATCAACGATTGATTGTCTGGTACAGCAAACATCAGATAAAGTCGATTTATGATGATGCTCTGAGCGTTTGATCAATCCATCTCTCTATATCTTCAGTGCCATCAATGTCAATATCACTCGTTGTATAATGTCCTCTTCCATCTAATAATAACACTTGGTCATGGTATTTGAGTAGGTTCCTATTGTGAGATACTGTGATGCAGGTGATTCCCAGTGATTTACATGTTACAAAGAATTGGCTTTCGAGTGTTGAATCAAGAGAACTAGTCGCCTCGTCGAATGCTGCAAACAATTGATTCAGTATATTAGTCATAAGTAAGCCAACAAGGTAGATAGACAGTTAATCGAAATTATCATGCTTCAGTGTCAGCATATTTACCTGCGAATACAGGCTTCCAGTAGAAGAGGCGTGCAAAAGCCAACTTTTGTTGTTCTCCTGGACTTAGCATTGTATTCCATTCTTGACCATACACGGTATCAAAATCCCCACATATCTTCTCAATATGTAAGAGACCGACTTTGGATAATATTTTTCTGATTGTTTCATCAGTTACTGCAGAATGAAACGAACAGTCGGTGAGCTTGAGGAATTTACTCTGTCTGATATTTGAGAATATAAATTATCATACTTACTGGATGATGATCCAAATGAATTAACGACTGGGTACGTTATCTGGTCTCTCAAAGATCCATATGCTAAATAGGGTGTCTGAGGCAAGTAAACAATGACTTTCTGTCTCACTGTTGCATGCGGTAAATTGACCGCTCCCTCGTAAGCAGGCCATAGACCACTCATTGTCCGTAATAAGGATGTTTTCCCGCTTCCGTTCGGCCCAAGAATTATGACATTCTTGTTTTGTTCGATAGTAAAGCGCAAGTCAGTCAGCAATGTTTTTCCTGCCGGTGATTTGATTGCTACTCGATCAAACGATATTGACAATTCGGTGTAAGCACTAGTGAATAGATAAAGCATTAGTATGTGTAAGCGTCTTGTTAAAAACCTTGATTATTGTAAAAAGTGTATACCAACTTTGGCTGTTGGTCAAGTAAAAAGTCCGAATCGACATGCTCTAGCCTGCTGTCAATGTCACCGACATTCTCCAGGCGATTCTCAATATCGTCAATCGTCTCTAGCAGCTGTCCTATACGCGCAGTGTAACCCGCCAGATCAGATATATCAGATGCCCGCTGAACTACGACCGTAAACAGATAGACAAGGTAGATTGATAAGAAAGCGTTCTATTAAAAAGCAACGTTGATAGTAATGTGTTAGCAGTCTATTAATCACCAATATAGTAATATCCAATCATGCTACATTATACACACCAACGCAATGATTGCACTAAGCTCATCAGTTGGAATGTCATCATATTTGCCAGAAAATAGGGGAATGGCGATAACCATATAACTGACGACGGATCCAAAATAACCAAAAGCCTCAGTCACAGCTACAATAAAAAACAAGATAGAATATTAGACATGATAACACAATAAGTTACCAATTGTTTTAGAACATACCTTGTAAAGATAATTCCTTATAAACAATTTTCCTCTGATATCCCAACACTCTCATCAACAATTCATCCAATCTTGTCCTCTCTCCCTTCTCTCCCCACGAGAAAGCAATTGACTCTACATAGTTTCTGATCCTCACATGTAAAAATCTAAAATAGCCTTCTTGTTGCTCTTTCAAGAATACCAATTCAACAATGGGTGGGATTAAGAAACGGGTGCAAACAGTGCCGACTACGAAGTAGAGATATATCAGCATAGGGCCAAGATATCCAGAGATAACAAAGCATTTGTAGGTATAGTAAATGATGAGGACGGGAGTAATGATTACTTCGGAAAGGATTGAGGCGAGTTTGGTTGAGAAGTTGGATGTATCTTGAGTTATTCTTTGATCACTGTAAAATTATCAATATAAGTGTTGTGGGCTGTTAGATGAAAGCCATTATTTATAATCTGATTCCGCACTCGATACCGACTAGCAAATTTGTTGTGTATACATACGGATTATCAATCTCAGGTTGCCAGACGAGTAGACGGTACAAAGTTTTACCATTAACGTATCTCGTTTGTATATATCTAGTAAGAATCCTCCTTGTCGTCAAAGCAAACAGTCCGTTTATAAATTGTACGAGACTCTTTCCCTGTATAAGAGCAAAACGCAAAAGATAAAGACACGGGATACCCGATACCTGCACAATCGATCTCTTTAACACTTACCACGCCAGCAGCAATCACGAATAGCAAAGCCATCATAAGCACGACTTTAAAGCCATCCCAGTCTTTCCCGACAAATACACCGTAAAATCTGCTTGGTATTGTTCCCACATAATATACCGTAATTTCTTTTATAAAGCAGACCGCCATGAACGTAAGCCATAGCCATAGCACATTTCCCTCTGGATTTCGGGGGGATAGTATAATACGAAATATGCGTAGTAGACGGCGAATGAAAATGCGGTCGAACGATGAGTGTGATTTTTTTGTCTGATGCGACGGTAGATGTGATGTTGGCCTTTTTTAAATGAACGTTAAAGTTAGAAATTGATACATATATCACGTGAACTACGATTTAATTACAGTGACAAAAAAAAAACCAAAAACCGCTGAACCCTGACTCTGTTTCAAAGAACGCTTTAAATATGATGTCTTACTTGAGGTCGTCTTCCAGCGTCGTAGAGCCACCTGACAACGGTTCACGAAAACGAGGCATGGTCTGCGTCCGGGGGATATCAAAGTGTATACTAATAA